TTAACAAAGTAATATGAATTTCACAGTATTTGTTGTAATACATGGTATTGTCTTACAACCAGCTATTCATATTACCAGATATTGGAAGAAGAAAAAACTGGAGCAATGTATAAGAAATTAAGAAAAGAAAAAGTACAAATGGTTCTGTCCTTCTAAATGGACGGGTTATGGGCCCGGGATTTAGCTCAGAGACACAGTGTTGGCCAAGTGTGAGGTCCTGAGTTCAATTCCCCATATCCTCGCCCAAACCCCAAATTGAAGGGTTATGTTTGTCAATCAAAGGAGGTATAGGGGCAGCGGGATAGCTCAGCAGACTAAAGCACCACTTAGGCAAGTGTAGGGACCACAGCTCAATCCCTGGCACCACATGCTGTTCGCTGTTCCAGCCCTGTTCCTAGGGCAGGCTGAGCTGGCCAGTCTGAGCATCATGGTGCACGCCTATAATCCCAGCGCTGGGGAGGTTCACTGAGTCTGAGCTTAGTATGACCCTGTAACAACCAAATACATTGGGGTGGGGGCAGATAGCTCAATGGAATAAAGCGCCTGCTTAGGCAGATGCAGGGGCCAGGGGTTCAATCCCCAGCCTGCCATACTGACCCCGCCCCTACGGCACACTAAGAGGCAATTGAGACTGGGCATGATGACATGTTTGTAATCCCAGAAGTTGGGAGGCTGAAAAACAGGAGGATCACTGAGTCCAATCTGTGTAATGAGAACCTGCACTAAATACATTAAAGAGTAAAAAGAAAAAAAAAAAAAAAAAAAAACAGGTGTAGTTAGGATGTAAAGTACCAACCCTTTTCTTTTCATTATTGAATGGTGTGCATATGCTATTTTTTTTTAAATGACAAAGTCTCCCTAAATCGTTGTTTCTGTAATCATTAAGTTCCCCAGGCAGGTTTGAACTTGAAATCCTTGTGTCACCTTTCCAAAGCGCTGGGATTAACAGGAGTGTGCAACAGTGCCTGGCTTGATCACATGCAAAACTTTTATTTATTTTTTTATTTTTTTTGCAAAACTGGGGATTGAACTCAGGCCCTTGAGCTTGCCAGGGAAGTGCTTATTTCACTGAGCCTACTCCCCAGCCACATGCAAAACTTTAAGCTAAAGTAAGAAACAACTGTTAAGTTTCTATGTATACATTTTATTTTTTGGTACCAGAAATGGAACCTTGTACTTGCCGGGAAGGCACTGAGCTATGTACTCTGCCTTTATGTACATATTCTAATGCTCTATTTGAGTAAAGGAGGCAAGTTGATTATGTCGTGTAGGCTTGTAATCATAGTAGCAAGGCTGAGGCAGGAGTAAACCTAGCAGACTACACAGCGAGATCAAGGCCAGCCCAGCCACACCTATATAGCAAGAGCTGCTCTCAAAATGCCAAAAAATAAACTCAGCACCCATTACTACTACCATGTAGAATGGAAGCTGATGAAATACAGTTGAAGGAAGCAAAACTCCTCTCCAGTCTCTTCAGATCTCAAGTCATCTTCTAAGTCATTTCCATGACATGTAAAACATGAAAGTTTGTCATGACATGCCAGATGTCTCTCGGGTAGATGGTCGTTCAAAAAGAAGGGGGTGGTGAATGAAAGCAAGAGACAGGAAAAGGAATATTGTGGGACTCTTGCTTCAAGGTTGTATATGGTGAGATTTTTGGACCTATGTGTAAACATAAGCATATAATTATGCCTATTTTAAAAATATATCCTAATTTTTAAATGTTTTTTATTATATTCTATAGAGACTTAAAGTTCAACATATCAATACTTGATGAAAAATACCTGTTCCATATTATGCCTAAGATGTTTGATATGCAGACAGATAGTGAGGTTAAGCTTAACAGCCTAAGTTGTATGGTAATAACAATAAGCTTATCTTCTGGATGGTTAACAACCTAAGTTTGCAGACCAAAATTAGAGAAAAAGGAGGACTGCAAGGAAAGCCAACATTTTGGCCCTAGCCTTCCAAGGTCAATTAAGACTCAGGACATAGGAGAACTTGTACTGTAATATCATGTAACTCGGTAGTGTCCCAAATTTTCTGATCAAGGAGATTATGGGGCCACAGAGGAAAGTGATCAACGATGTAGAGTGTGCCTAAGGAGAGTCACATGGAGAGAAAACATTCTCTCAGGCTTTCACAGAGAGCACACTGGCCAAGCAATGGCCATGACTCATCCATATGGCTGACACTAACAAAGGTTCTACAATCTGAGGTACAGGATCTCAGGATAAATCCTGAGGAGATTTCACTGATCTCATCAGACCCAAAAGCTACAACTCTTGTTGCATAGGTCCTGCTTTACCTAGGTCTTAACCATCCAGCAGAAAAGTATAAAAACAAAATATAAGAAGTAAAGCCATGCTGTTATGTTGAGCTGTAGGGGACTCAGGTCAACAATTTCTGACATTAAAAAAAAATAAATAAATAAACAATTTCTGACATTGCCAGTCAAGCGGAAGACCCAATACTATTATGGGCTACTGGACTCTTAGAATATTTTGCTGAGTTTACACACCTATAATATTCAAATAACGGAACTTAACAAAAAAAGGGTATACAGATGAATGTCCATTTTGTGTCTGTGTATTCAAAGTGGTTAGGATATTTACTTACATTCTCTTAATAGAGGGATTTGTTCTAATGGTGTTTGTAAATAGGATATCATGTCCGTATCCTGTACAGCAATTAACCACTAGGAAGAATGTATGCAATGTGTTAATTATTGAAACTGTCCTACCAATTTGATTTGAAACTGTCTCATTGCTATTTATCAATAAAATCATGGGGAAAAAGATAAAAGAAAAAAAATAAAACATGAAAGTATAAGCAGAGTTAAAGGTATGTAAAGAAATCTGTGCATAGAACATACTGTCCTTAAAATTCCTAATTCATATTTTCTGACTTCCATTGTGCTTTCAGGGTACAGTGAACAGGAAAGCAGTCAGAAAGACTTCAGGGAAAGTAAATATGACAATGCAACACAAGGTCTAAAGGTCTATAACCTTCTAAAATGCTTTTCACACAAGCTCACACAATTAAAAGTACAGCAGCAGGTATCAAACAACAAAAGTACCACTAAGCATTTAGGCTTCTGCCACAAGTTGCACTGTTGACTCTTCATCTCTGACAGTCACAGTTCAATCTCCTGAAATTTCCAGCAGCCTTTACTCGTGGTATTCTCCCTGTCCAGATTCCCATCCCCAGACAATGCTTGAGATCCGTGTTCATTGGTTGTCATTCCCACCTCCATCTACTCAAGGCTGCCATCATCATGTCTCTTCAGTTTGGCAGACTTTGGAGAAGGTAAATGATATTCAAGCCCTGCATTAATACTCTATAATAGGCAGTGTTTCTCAACAATGTGTTCATTACACTGATTTAGACCTGTATGAGGGCTGGTGAGATAGCTCAGTGGTCTGGAGCACCTATTTAGAGCAAGCTTAGCAAAGCACAGGGACCACGGTTCAGTCCCCAGCACCACATGCCAGCCAGCCCCGACCCCTGGTGGGCTGAGCTGGCCACACACAGATACACACAAATAAATAAAATAAAATAAAAATAAATAAACCTGTATGAGTGCCACAGGTGTGCTTGTTTTTTATAAAGGGGCTGGTGCACACTATCCATTATGAAATGGAGGGCTTATATGTGAACAGATAGACCCCATCTCCATCCAGTTACTATTGGAATAAAAAGACATTAGAAGGGGCCGGGGAGATAGCTCAGTGGAATAAGCGCTTGCCTGACAAGCGCAAAATCCTGAGTTCAATCCCTGGTTTTGGGAAAAAAAAAACATAAAAAAAAAAAAAGTGATGGTGACACCCACGTGTGGTAATCATGTAACAGAAGAAGTACAAATACAAAGCAGTGATTAAATAATCGCAAACATTTAATTAAACACTACTTAGAATCCTTCAAGAAACACGATCATGGGGAACATGAAGATGCTTCAAAGACTATGAAAAATGTATCAGAGCTGTTATTACATCAAGTAACAACTCTCTCCAGGAGGAGCAATTCCTTATGCGCATGCTTTTAGATGAAATAAGTTACTCTTTCTATAATCTGTGTTTTTTGCATGGTTCTATTCATAATGCCATAATTTACTTAATTTTACATAAAGGTATAAAAAATAAATATTGCCATGCATTTTCTGTTGACATTTAAAAACCTACAAATAAATAACTTATGCTGTCTAGAGATACTGTTCCTGCATATCTGTTAATTATGGAGGACTTCATCCAGCAAGCCTGAGTTTTTACCGCAGGCTCAAACTGGAAAAAGCTTCAAAATAAACCTAACTGAATGCCCGTGAATGACTGAAAATGTGAAGGGAAAAGAAACAACACAAGCCCCAACCGGAGTGCAAACACCTTTTCACAGCAGGTTTTTAACTTTAAACATTTATGAATTAAGGAGCCTTTCTTGTCTAAGGGCATGCTGGAAACACAAAAAGTGACAAAAACTAGAATCTTTCCTCGGGCAATTACTTCTCCTATTTCAGTTTCCTGAAACCTCCCTGGTTAAGACTCTTAGGATTAAGAACATGTAGCAGATAAGCTTTTACAAAAGTTCATCAGGTTCCTCATTAAAACTGAAGTCACACACCAGAGACAAATGGTCTGAAGGATAATTGAAGGATGGCAGCCGATTGGGTCCAATTTGTTCCTCAGTGAGTAAGTCAAGTGCTGCCCTCACGCTCAGTGCGTGCTGGGAATACCATATGTAGTCCAGGGTATGCCTGCACTCCCCTGAGGTCCGGATCTTCCAGGTGGTATAGGGAGGCTCGGACTGCCCGTCAGCACTCAGCAGCTTGTAGGCGCTGTTCAGATTGAGGCTGGAGGAGGCAAAGTGTTTGTAGACCTCCTCAGTGGGCTCTGCGTTGAAGTCCCCGCAGACGATCAAGGGAATCTTGGCGCCCTGTGTAATGTTCTGCAGGTTTTGGAGAAGGTCACAGCCCTGGGCAGATCGAAACTGCTCCCAGCCAGTACGTGCTTTCAAATGGGTGACAGCAATACAGAACTGTCGCCCAGATTCCTTGCACTCTAGGGTCTGGGCAATGGCCACTTGGTTGGTTTTCAATGTCATGGCTGTCAGCCGAATATTGGCACTGTTGACCAGCTTGAATCGGTTTTGTAGAAAAAACAAGGCGCAGCCATCAGGCCCATTGTTATGTTCGACATCCAGACAAGGTGACCAAGGCTTGGGGAAGAACGTGCCTTGGTAGCCCAATCTACTGAGCAGGGGCTGGAAGGTGTCGAAGTAGTGGTCCACCTCCTGCAGGCACAGGATGTCAGGCTGGTAGGCGAGGATTTCTTCTAGGATGAGGCATTTCCGTTCTTCCCACTTGAGTGCTTCAATAGGGCACTGCACGAAGTTGTCTTTGCCTTCCCCAAGTGCTGAAAAGAAAAAGCCGGCGGCTGTCAGGCTACTCCAGAACGAGACCTCCAAGTACCTGACATTCGCCTCAAGAGTCCCTTCTGCTCCACATGCTGTGATGGCTCTTCCAGCTACACTGCTTACCCACCTAAGCTGAACAACCCCCTTGCAAGCTATTGCAGTCTTGTACTGCTAAAACTATCTTTTGCAGCCACAGTCCAAAAACAAAGCTTTGGTTGGAAACTATACTAGTTTCAACACTGACTATAATATAGTCACATAAACAATAAAGAGGCACAACTCAGATGAATGAGACTTATTTAATGATGCCTTTACTACTTCCTAAAGTATGAATACTTGGGCTGGGTATGGTACCACATCCTATAATCCCAGCACTCAGGGAGACTGAGGCATGATGATCAGAGGATTGTTGAGAGTTCTATATCAGCCTGGAAGTCTAGCCAAATAGCTCAGCGGATTAAAGCATCTATTTAGGCAGATGCAGGAAGCGCGAGTTCGATTCCCAGTTTGCCATGCTGGCCCCGCCCCTGGGGCACACTGAGATGACTTGAGACTGGGCACACTGAGATAGCTTGAGACTAGGCATGGTGGCACACGCCTGTAATCCCAGCATTTGGGAGGCTGTAAACAGGAGGATCACTAGAATCCAATTTATGGAGTGAGAACCCATATACCCTGTACACCCTGTCCTAAATTACAAAATAAAATAAATCAGCCTGGCAATACTTTGAAAAATAAAATAATCTAAGAGTGGAAGTCAAGCATTTCCTTCTTTTCTGGTAAATAAACATACATAAATCAGCCCCTGATTCCTTAAATTTCAACTGCTAAACAAAGGGCAATAATACTGAATGAAGGTTGGCTGATGCATCTGGTTTTTGATGTGGCAGACGCAGGAAAGGGGACCTTGCTACTACAACAAAATACAGTAGTGCCTTGGTTCATGAACTTAATTTGTTTGTTCCACAGTTCTAGAAAAGATGGCCATGTTTGTGTTTGTATGGGAAACATGGCTGCGTTTGTGTTTGGCACATGGTACAGAGTTTGCAACAACAACAAAAATTTCTTTCCATATGCCTTTGTTTGCAAACCAATTTTTTGGTGAATCAAAATACTACTGTTATCTTACTGAACTGAGATAACTAAAGCAGGATCTTTTTGGTCTTATGCTACCTGGATGAGACCTATACAGAGGTGCCCTTCCCTGCAGAAGTTCTGTTACCCTGCCAATGCTACCTTACTGCTATACATTGAAAGCTGCAGGCAAGTTTGAGGAGGTGCCATCGTGCTGCCAAATAACCCACAGTCATGGCAACCTACAGTCATCTGCCCCAACTCTTCCCAGCACAGTGCTTGAGCAGAAGCAGGAAAGAAGTCATGGCAAAACTCACTGCACAGGCATAGAAGCGTAACGCCTACCTTGGGCGAGAATGTTCCACTGCATGACTCGAATGGATGGGTGGCTGCTGGGGCGATCTGCCCTGAGATCCACAAAGTCCCTCTGGAAGCGGGGAGGCCGGGTGTGTAGGACTGCCCTGCATTCCTCGAGAAGCTCTTTAGGATCAATGGGCTCCAGATGTTCTGGATCAGGTGACACCAAGTACTCTGGGTGCTGAGCAGCGGCACTGCTGTTCAGGGTCTTAGCAAGAGCACTGTAGAGTCTGCTTGTACCGGTTCCCATGGAATGCACTGCAGGAGAGGATGGCAGTTACACATTTGCTCCTTTACCTGACCATGGGCCCTGTTCAACGTAAGAACTGTAAGAGGAAGCATTTACTGTCCACTGACAAGAGTTCCTCTTAGCACAACATCACCATATTTCTGTATAAAGCAGTTCTACGGGTCCATCACCTGAGTGTCCAGTTTCTAGCTTTCTACTAGAACAGAAGATTCAGGGCTGGGGAGATGGCTCAGTGGAATAAGTGCGTCCTTGGCAAGTGCAAAGGTCTGAGTTCAATCCCCGGTTCCGCCAAAAAAAAAGAGGAAGATTCAAATACTTTTTTGTTAAAGGCTGAGGATATATAGCAATAGAACATAAAGCCCTGAGTTCCTTCCCCGGGATCACAAAAGTCACTTGAAAGCAGTCTAACAAATATAGCAAAATATACCTTAAAGGCAGATATACCTTAAAATCAATGGCCTCTTCCAACCTAGGATTTGTTTTCTACCGGGGATTGAACTCAGGACCCTGCAAATTTGTCTTTATAATTTATAAATCTACTCTTATAGAAACATGGGGGCTGGGGAGATGGCTCAGTGGAATAAGTGCTTTCCTGGCAAGCGCAAGGGCCCGAGTTCAATCCCTGGTTCCACCAAAAATAAATAAAAAAAAGAAACATGGCTAAAGTGGGATATAGTGGCACACGCCTGCAATCCCAGCACTCTGAAGCATGAGGCAATAACTTATTCCCTGTGAGTTTGAGGCCAGCTTAAACTACAGTGAGACCCCATTTCAAAAATAAAGAAATTACAGGCAAGTTTTACTGGGAATAGGTTCTGAGACTCTGTGCATGATTAAGTCTACTACTATGCCACTTCATTTTCTCTACTATATCCATATCCTTGAAAGACAAAATTTTCTTTGTAAAATCTGACAGGCTTATTGACCACATTTCATCCTAGTCAAATTTACAGTAGCAGGTCCTAAATAAAGCAAACCCAAATACCACCAAATATCCCTGAACATCAGACTCCATAAATGTCTGTGTGTGCTCTCTTGCTTTTTCTCAACTTAAAGCACTGCTGTTCCCAAAGAAACACCCTGGCAAACATAAGGGCCTGATATCAATGCCCGGTTCCACACAATAAAGAAAAAAAAGAAAAGAAAAGAAAAGACACTGGTTTCCAAACATACATATTTACATTTGGAGACATCTAACATCTGTTGAGCTCCTGGCAAATCACCAGCATGAGGCAGAAAAAATTAATCTCAACAGAATGGCTCTGTGCTTTTCTTTTGACAACACTTTATTTTTATGATTGAACTGTGTTTGGGGATTGCCACTGTTCTGAAAAGCAAGTACTATACAAAAAAAAATGAATGTAAAAAGCAGGTGATGGGGGCCTGCCCCTTAGCTTAGTTCTTTAAGTGGCTGCTTCAACAAAGCAGCCAGGCTCAGGTTGCTGTGGTTCAATCCCCACGACTCAAGCCAGCCAAACCTGCCCTGAAGGAATTCAGAGCAAAAAAAAAAAAAAAAAAAAAAGCAGGCGGTCACGTCCACTGGGAGCCTAACATTTGTGTGGCAGAGTACTCATCACACAGGAGCAAGCCTCTGGGCTTGAGCTCTAGCACCTCAAAAAGGGAAATGAGTCCAGCACTTGAATAATGAAAACTCAGAACAACTATCCTGAATCATACTTTCCTCTAAAAATGCGGAATTTCAGATAAAGAACAAAACTTTAGACAATGAATGCATGGTACTAATACATTTTGCCCAGAAAGCAAATTAAACTGTACCCTCTTACAAAGTAAGGTAAAAGTTATAAAGAAAATGATACAAAACATGAGATAAAACAGCCTAAAATCAGAATTAGAAAACTCAGAAATAAGGCTCTGAAAGAGTCAGTAATAAAGATTCAAAAAAAGCAAGAGAACAAGTATCTAACGCTGTGTGGTAGCATGTGCCTGTAATACTAGCATGGATGCTGGAATAAGAGAATCTCAATTCACAGGTCAGCCTGTCTGTATTATAAGCCCCTGACTCAAAAATGAAGGACCAGGGCTGGGGAGATGGCTCAGTGGAATAAGCGCTTTTCTGGCAAGCACAAAGGCCTGAGTTCAATACCCGGTTCCGCAAAAACAAAACAAAACGAAAACCTGAAAATTACATATTGAAAAAACACAGTGGCCGGGGAGATGGCTCAGTAGAATAAGCACTTTGCTGGCAAGCGCAAGGGCCTGAGTTCAATCCCTGGTTCCACCAAAAAAAAAAAAAAAAAAGAAAGAAAATGAGTAACACACTTAAAATACCTATGGAAGGAAAGGCAATATGAGCCAAGGATTTATGCTGTTTCCATAAGCCGTTCTGCAGGAAGCCACTACAGTAAGGGTAGGCAAAGTGTGTCCACATATTTCTGTACATTCCTCAAGCTAAAAACATCTTTACACTTTAAAATTTAAAAATGGCATTGCACACACATGCATGTAGATCATTTTTGGCCCACAAAACCTAACTATATACTATCTATCCCTTTCAGAACTCTACTACCCCTGGGACTAAAAAACAAGCCTAGGGGCCGGGGAGATGGCTCAGTAGAGTAAGCGCTTGCCTGGCAAGCACAAGGGTCTGAGTTCAATCCCTGGTTACACACACACACACACACACACACACACACACACACACACACACACACAGAAAAAGCCTGGAGAATCGAAATGACCAGAAAGTTGATGGTCTAACACACAGGCTTGTCAGAAAACCCAGTCTAATGGTGGTGGAGAAGGAAAGCACAGTGCCTTGGGGCAGCATGACACAGCCTTGAACACTTAAAAAGAGCCACTACTGTAGTAAAGGCCAGCCAAATATAGCTCAGTGGACTAAAGTGAAGGCTTGGGGTTTGATCCCTGGTGTACAAGCTGCTGCCATCCCTACCCCTGGGGCATACCGAGACAGTGAATGAGACTGGGTGTGGTGGCACAGAACTGTAACCTCATCTCCTGGGAGGCTGAAAACAGGAGGATCACTACAGGTTCCATCTGTGTAGTGAGACCCTGTAGATCCTGTACATGATAGGGCAAATTCAAACTTTTTAAATTTAAATTCTTCAATTCTTTTTAGTGATAATTTAGTAGCTTCAGTATTACTAGGATCTGAGGCAAATGGGTGATTCTCTTTTTTTTCTTGTGGGGGGGGCTTGGAAATCCACTTAATAAGACTACCAACTATAAGACTCAAGGAAACAGTACCCTATTTGCCCTTTTTTGAGACAGGGTCTTGATATAAACTACCTAGCTGGCCTTAAACTCATACCTGGGGGGCCTGCCCCTTATCTCAGTTCTTTAAGTGGCTGCTTCAACAAAGCAGTCAGGCTCAGGTTGCTGT